CATGCCAATGCTTTAGCACCATCTAGCACATAATACTCCCCAGTGATGAGGAGTTTGCCATTCGCTTTTTTATGATAAAGAAGCGAGTCTATCATTAAATTGTTTTTGGAGAAACTGAGTCTCTCAATCTTGATAAGTAATTTCTCACCTCACTGACCGAGATGACTTTATCACTAAAATAGGTTTCGATCTGCTTAGCCTCATCCATATTCGCCTTGAGTTCAGCTATGATATTGGTCAGGTGCATTTTCATATGGCCCAGCTGTATACCTGTAGTGGTAAGGCTTTTCACCGCAGCAAAATTTTGCATTAAGCCTACAGCAGCCGTTATTTTCATTAAATCAGCAGCGGATGGATTGCCTAGTATTTGCAAGGAAGTTTTGGCTAATGGATGCAAGGTTGTCAGCCCACCTACGGTTCCTAAGGCTATTGGAAATTTAAGACTTAAATTGAAATAATCATTTTCTAACCATGCTTTGGAGAGGCTTCTATACTGTCCATCGCGTGAAGCATACGTATGAATGCAGCTCTCAACCGCTCTGAAATCATTGCCAGTAGCTATGACTAGAGAATCTATGCCGTTTAATATTCCTTTATTGTGTGTCGTCGCTCTATGCACATCTATTTCGGCTATGCGGACTGCTTTGGTAAATTTATCTGCAAAATGCTGTGGCGCAAATCCATTGACTATTCCTAAGTCCTCTACTTTACAGCGCACCTTAGCCTCCACGATACAGTCTGGAGTATAGTTAGACAGAATACACATATTGATTTCAATAGCTTCCTCTGGCTTTTGAAACTGTCCAGAATTCGCAGTCATTTTTCGAAACTCACTTCCTAGTTTTTCCAGCACAGAATTGATGAAATTAGCACCCATACTATCACAGGTTTCAAAGGAGGCTTTAAATTGAAAATAATGCGGCTCTAGATGAGTCATATCTAGCAATTCAAGCTGTATTAGACCACCTCCGCGTTTCTCCATATTAGCAGTGAGATCAGCGGTGGACTGTATGAGATTTTCTTTATGCTCCTTGAAATATAGTTTCAGTTTTTCTGCATCGCCTTGATAGAAAAAATGTACTTGACCTATCTTCTGTGTATCTATAACCTCTGCTTCTATACCTCCACGCTCCATCCAGAATTTTGCGGCATTCGATACCGCCGCCACTACAGAACTTTCCTCGGTGACCATAGGTATCACATAGTCTTTGCCATTAATTAGAAAATTGGGAGCTACACCAAAGGGTAGGTGAAAATTGGAAATTGTATTCTCACTAAATCCATCGAATTGCTTCTGAATTTCTACATTCTCATACCAGAATCCTGCGAAATTATTGATGACATCCACCGGACTTTCATACAGAAAATTCTTCGCTAGCCAAGATATTTTCTCGTATTTGGTGAGCTTAGAAAAACTACTTACTTTGCGCATGGTGATTTGAAAATCAAAAAATAATCTCCTGCAAAAATAGGCAAAACAAGGTAGTTTAACCTAAATTAATCATTAGAAGACGCGAAGTTAGCTCTCATTTGTCATAAAGCTAGCGTTTTCTTAAAATCTGGGTTTATTTCTATTTTTAGAATTTATTTACAATATCCCAGGCGAATCCGCTTCGCATGTGTGGGCCGGATTTTGGGTTTAAATAAAAGAAAAAAACTCTAGTCTGCTGACTAGAGTCCTAAAAATTATAAAGTAATAATGAAAATTATTTATCTTTCAAAAACTTATATAGAGCTCCAGCACAGGCGGCACCTAGAATAGGAACTATGATAAATAACCAAAGCTGCTGAAGGGCTTCGCCACCTACAAATATAGCCTGACTGATACTTCTCGCAGGATTTACGGAAGTGTTGGTCACAGGAATGCTGATTAAATGTATTAAGACTAAAGCCAATCCAATAGCTAATCCGGCAAAACTGCCATTAGCCTTTTCATCGGTAGAAAATAGTATCACCAATAAGAAAACAAACGTCATGACAAACTCGCATAAAATAGCCGCCATCATAGAATAGCCTCCTGGAGATAATGTCCCGTATCCATTGGTCGCAAATCCGCCTATCGTGCTTCCGTTTCCTGTAGCAATACTATATAAAACTAACGCAGCGAGAATACCTCCTAATATTTGTGCGGCTATATATGGTAGTAAATCTTTTGTATCAAGTCTATTGGCTACCCATGCTCCAATGCTCACAGCAGGATTGAAATGACCACCAGAGATAGGCCCGAAAGCATAAGCTCCTGTGACTACTGTCAATCCAAAAGCTAAGGAAACACCGAGAAAACCCAGATTTTAAGAAAACGCTAGCTTTATGACAAATGAGAGCTAACTTCGCGTCTTCTAATGATTAATTTAGGTTAAACTACCTTGTTTTGCCTATTTTTGCAGGAGATTATTTTTTGATTTTCAAATCACCATGCGCAAAGTAAGTAGTTTTTCTAAGCTCACCAAATACGAGAAAATATCTTGGCTAGCGAAGAATTTTCTGTATGAAAGTCCGGTGGATGTCATCAATAATTTCGCAGGATTCTGGTATGAGAATGTAGAAATTCAGAAGCAATTCGATGGATTTAGTGAGAATACAATTTCCAATTTTCACCTACCCTTTGGTGTAGCTCCCAATTTTCTAATTAATGGCAAAGACTATGTGATACCTATGGTCACCGAGGAAAGTTCTGTAGTGGCGGCGGTATCGAATGCCGCAAAATTCTGGATGGAGCGTGGAGGTATAGAAGCAGAGGTTATAGATACACAGAAGATAGGTCAAGTACATTTTTTCTATCAAGGCGATGCAGAAAAACTGAAACTATATTTCAAGGAGCATAAAGAAAATCTCATACAGTCCACCGCTGATCTCACTGCTAATATGGAGAAACGCGGAGGTGGTCTAATACAGCTTGAATTGCTAGATATGACTCATCTAGAGCCGCATTATTTTCAATTTAAAGCCTCCTTTGAAACCTGTGATAGTATGGGTGCTAATTT